CCCCCTCAGGCGAAAGAAAATGGTGCCTGCCTCAACACCGAAAACGACAACCATGAACACCCGGCAGTGTCCCTCCCTCCCAACCGCTTCTCTCGCTGCCTTCAAACCACCCATCCCGTTGCATTCCCGTATATGCCGTCCCAATCCTGTATATGCCGTCCCAATCCTGTATATGCCGTCCCAATCCCACACCCCGTCCCATCATCCTGACCCTACCAACCCCTCCCTCCCCCGCCCAACCTCGTCCTGATACGGTACACGGTACACGATGCACGCAGCGGAGCGTCCCGAGCGACGGTCAGGTGCAACGGCAGGTGCCTCGCAGCGCTAGGCTGTTCTCGGCGGCAGTGGAGCGGTCTCACCTCCCCCGGAGGTGGAAATCGAGGGCGAGCCCGGCCTTCAGGGACCGGGAGGGGTCGTCTTCGTCGCCTTCGTCGCCTCCGGTGGACCGTCAAGACGCCACACTCAGGAGGCTGGGCAGAGTGGGAGTAGTGGAGATCGCGTCGAGCATGGTGAGTTTTCCTTTCGGTGTTGTTTGTGGTTTGTGGTAGTTGTTGTATTGGTAAGAGTGTGTGGGGGAGAGAGAGAGGTTCGAGGTGTGAAAATGGTGGAGAAGGGGATGGAAAAATGAGAAGTGGTGAGAGCTGTGTAAACGGTGGTTTGTTGGGTTTTCGGTGCGGAAAGTTGTTGTTGCCTTTCGAGCTGTTGAACATCAGTGTGCTGTAGAGAGAGGGAGAGAGAGAGGAAGGCGATAGGTGTTGCCTGTGGCCGTTAGCGTTATCGGCGTGGTGGACGGTGGCAGATTGCCGGTAGCACAGTCCGGGGAAAACCGAGGGAGGCCTGGGTCCGGCGGGGAGAGAGACTCGCGGACTTCATGCTTGTTTTTTTTCATCAGTATGACCCAACGAATCCATATACCGTAAATGACACAAGATGACACACCCCCTGGACTGATTTTCAAATCTCGATTTCTCGACAGCAGAAAGAGTCACAGCGCGGAAAACGGTGGAGTTGAAGCTGTCTCGTCGAGAGCTTTCCGAAAATGTTTTGTTTCATTTATGTATCCTCTTCGTTGTCGCATAATCGAGCTTTGAAAATTGGCCCAGGGGGTGTGTTATCTTGTGTCATATACGGTATGTCGAAGAATAAAGTCTAAGATAGATTTGAAACAAATACATAGAGTCACCCGAAATGTTTTTGGTATCCTGGATGATGAATGCGGCTGCGGGTGCGATGAGCGTTTTCGTGACTCCCTGGTAGATATGGGAGATCTGGGAGTTGCGGAAAGATTGTTTTGTGTGGGCGGCAACCTGCCTCTGTTGCCGGCAGGAGCAGACAAGCAATGACTTCGCATCACCGGCATGCAGTATTCGCATCACTAATGATGTTTAAGGCGGCTGCGTCTCTTCTTCTTCATCAAGATACTCACCCCGCCCCCGCGGTCTGCCGGCGTTCTCACTTCAGGTTGTTTTTTGTTGCTCTCCTGGACAATGATGTGCATGATAGCCTCTGCGTGTTTAATTGTGGTGTTTGTTCCCCCTGTATTGCTTGACGAAACCATCCCATCGCTTCCCTGGTCGGTATCCTCGCCCGCGCGGGCGCTTTCATGCGGTTTACTTAACGTGGCTTGTCTGTTCGGTACATGTGGCATCGGTCTGTTTCACCCTCTCGCCCTCAGCTCCTGATTGCATCGGAGACGGCCATGGAGGTCGACTCGTTGGAAGAGCTGGGCCAGTTCCGGCAAGAGGGGGGCATGCCGAGGGTGCTCATGGCCCTCTCCCCCACCCCTTACACCACCAAGGTATGAACATGCCTACCGATGTCTTGGTTCGTTTTCCCGGTCCGGTATCCGGCTCTACGGTTTTAGTCCCCCCCTCCATCCCCCCCGACCGCGGTGTTTGCCATCGGGGTTGGGTTTTCGTCGCTTGCCAACGACGTTGTAAAAAAAGCCAATTCGCTTCGTGAACTCGGCAACCAGGTTACCGTTTCTTTTTTTTATACCTCCGTTTTTTTTTTGGCGGTAACCATGATGGTGGTCGAGTAGATCANCTTTCATGCGGTTTACTTAACGTGGCTTGTCTGTTCGGTACATGTGGCATCGGTCTGTTTCACCCTCTCGCCCTCAGCTCCTGATTGCATCGGAGACGGCCATGGAGGTCGACTCGTTGGAAGAGCTGGGCCAGTTCCGGCAAGAGGGGGGCATGCCGAGGGTGCTCATGGCCCTCTCCCCCACCCCTTACACCACCAAGGTATGAACATGCCTACCGATGTCTTGGTTCGTTTTCCCGGTCCGGTATCCGGCTCTACGGTTTTAGTCCCCCCCTCCATCCCCCCCGACCGCGGTGTTTGCCATCGGGGTTGGGTTTTCGTCGCTTGCCAACGACGTTGTAAAAAAAGCCAATTCGCTTCGTGAACTCGGCAACCAGGTTACCGTTTCTTTTTTTTATACCTCCGTTTTTTTTTTGGCGGTAACCATGATGGTGGTCGAGTAGATCATTTTGTGCGGGGCCGAGAACCCTCACTCCGCGCAAGGGGGATGATTGCACCACGTTGTGTTAAAATGGTCAAGCACCCTCGAGGCAGTTACACAGTGCTTACAACTGTCTCTGGAAGTGAAAGCACCAGAAAGTAAATTAAGTCATACGCAGCTGTCATCCGTACGCAAGGAAGTAAGCACAAGATGCCGAAAACCCTTAGCAGGATGCAGCGCACCCTTCATGCGACTCGCCGAATATCTCACGGCGCTTCGCGCTTGGTGATGTGAGAGCCTGGTCCGGTGAGAACCCGGCGTGCTCCGTCCCGGCTTTGTAGGGATGCGAGGTCAATGGTCTAACGACTACGGCATGCACGACTATGAGTGCACTCCCCCTCCATACTGGAAATGACTGAACTGGGAAAAGCAGAAGGAAGGTACAGGGAGATGTTTGAGGCATGGAATAGCCGGGAGACGGAAGGTATACAGGGGCATAGGAAGTGGGCTGAACAGGCGGGAAGTGGTGTCGATAGGATAGATAGCATAGGGAACACAGTTTGGAACCATCTTTGGCAAAACCAGGAAGGAACGATCGGCCATGGGGGTTCGGTCCTGAGGAACAGTACTCTATCCTCTCGAGGCCGCGTCGGCAATGGCCCAACCTCTAAGGCATGCAAAACATAAGAGCACGTCCCCCCTCCCCTCGGTCTAACGACTACGGCATGCACGGCCATGAGCAGTACCCCCCCCCCCCCCCCCCCCCCCCCC